CCTGCCTGCCAGGGGAGAGCGCCCCCCACCCAGCCCCCCAGCACTCGGGCCTGGCTGCCAGGGGAGACCGCCCCCTGCCCAGCCCCTCGCCCGCCCCCCAGCGCCGGCCCTGCCTGCCAGGGGAGAGCGCCTCCTGCCCTGCCCCTCGCCCGCCCCCCAGCGCCGGCCCTGCCTGCCAGGGGAGAGCGCCCCCCACCCAGCCCCCCAGCACTCGGGCCTGGCTGCCAGGGGAGAGCGCTCCCTGCCCTGCCCCTCGCCTGCCCCCCAGCGCCGGCCCTGCCTGCCAGACCGGGGCCCCTGTCTCCCCAGGTGCGAGGGTCAGCCCCTACCCCAGAGATCTCCCAATCGCACTGACAAAGGCTGGCTCGGGCCCCGCTTCTCACAGGTGGGGAAACTGAGGCACAGCTGGGCCACCATCGCCCCCCCACCCCGGAGCTTCAGGGGGATCCTGCCTCTCCAGCCCTCATCCTTCCCTTCCCCGCTGCAGGTCCCGGAGCTGCCGGTCCCCCCCACGTCCCCGGAGACGGAGCTGCCTGCCAGGGAGCTCCCGGTGCCCTTGGCTGAGTCCCCTGGGGGCGGCCGTGGGCCCGAGGCCGGCTCTCTGGGGCCGGGGGCCTCGTTCTCGGAGGCTGGCCTGGCAGAGCAGGCTGGGCTCTGGCGGGCGGAGGAGGAGGCCGTGGACTCGGAGCTGGAGCAGCTGTATCTCTCCCACCTCAGCCGGCTGCGGGCGGAGGAGCTGGGGGGCGCCGGGGGGCGGCCGGGGGGCACGGAGGCGGCCGGCTCCCCCCCGGCCTGGCTGCCTGCCCTGCGCCTGAGCGTGTTGAGCGACCGGGACCTGGTGGTCGGCTGGGCCGGGCCGGAGCGGGCGCTGAACAGCTCCCTGGCCCAGGAGATCACCCTGCGCTACGCCAGCCCGGCCGCCCGGCTCACCCCGCCTGCCTGCCCGGGGCGGGACAGCCCCCCAGCGCTGCTGGAGGCCGGGCTCCGGGGAGCCGGCCCGGGCGGGGCCCTGCGGCTCCTGGCGCCGGCTGCTGTGGTGGTGCCGGCACGGACAGCTGCCCCGGCGGGGCGGGGCCGGGGGGGCTGGGGAGGGCCGGGGGTGCCCTGGGAGGGGGCGCCCGGCTGCCCCACGCGGCTGGGACAGGCCCTGACCCGTTCCCTGTTCGTTCTGGGCCTCGTGGTCGTCCTGCCCGTGGTCCTCAGCGGCTGCCTGCCGGCCGCGGCCGTCACCCTGTATGTGGTTCTCACGTGGCGCCAGCCCCCCCTGCTCTAGCCCCC